TACAGACATATATATATATATATATATATATATATATATATATATATATATATATATATATATATATATATATATATATATATATATATATATATATATATATATATATATATATATATATATATATATATATATATATCTATATATATATATCTATATATATATATATCTATATATATATCTATATATATATATATCTATATATATATCTATATATATATCTATATATATATCTATATATATATCTATATACCGGGTGGCCCAAAAAAAAGTACTCCTGTTTGATTCGTAATAACTTCTAAACAAGTAAAGTTTTTAAAGAGAAATAACTTGCATTAAATAGAGGAAGGACTAACTTAGATTTTGATATATTACAGTTGTATTTAACTTAAAAATTCACGGATATATTAATGTTAAAAATGGGGAGCATATTTTGGAATGTGTCTAAAATTAGCGAAAATCGGCATATCAAATATTAACTCCAGCTTTTGTTTGCTTAATGACATATTAGGCTAACTTGTATTTCAGCGAATTATCGTTAAGGTTTGTAAGGGATATGGCGTAGATTTAGACATCTTACATGTAAGTCTTAGCTCATTGTTTCCTGAAATATGAACGTTCGAAATTGTGCAAGTATTTAATATTAGGTCTTTGCAAACTTAAATGTACATGAAAGACTGACCATGGAAGGCAGGCGCTTAAATTTTTCGTATTCTTAAATAGCCTAATTTTTTATGTTTTTAATGGGTTCAAACAGACTGAGTAGATTATTTCTCGGTTAGAGCAGGATGAATATTCTTTATTGAAGGAAATAATATTGCTTTTTGCAAATACACATCACCGTATCAACGCTACTATTTTGTTACGTTTTATTCCAAAAATGTTGCATGTCTCTGGGGAGTTGCTTAATTGTTATGTCTTATGGAGTTGTATGGTTTGATTGTGTTTCATATATAATTCTCAGTTTACTCCATGAACTTGCCAAGATTAAGAAACGGCAAAAGAGTTTGGGTGTTCTTAACAAGATTTCAGAACGTTGCAGAAGTTAGAAGAGCTTCACAATTCCGTTGTGACAGCATGCCCTAATTCAGAACTACGAACGATCCAATGACGATCCTTCGCGATGCAGTGGTCTCATGAAATAAGGAAACGTATTTGTGCTAGGAACACACGCGAATTTCGGACGAATGAATCTTGCTTGTATTTTGTAGATATAATAATACTTTGTTTCATAATAAACAATTTGTCAAGTGTCATTTATTTACTGGTAATAGTGCATGTTTCAGTCGGGCAAATCTTGATTAATATTTGATACGCCGATTTTGCATATTTCAGACACATCCAGAAATATCCTCCCGAATTTAAAGATTAATATCCCCGTGAATTTTTAAGTGAAATACAACTGTAATATATCAAAGTCTAAGTTAGTCCTTCCTCTATTTGATGCAAGTTATTTCTCCTTAAAAGCTATACTTGTTTAGATGTTATTACGAATCAAACAGGAGTACTTTTTTTTGGGCCACCCGGTATATATATATATATATATATATATATATATATATATATATATATATATATATATATATATATATATTTATAAGTAATAGCATGGAATTCAAAGCGATTAGTGATTAAATGTACCCAAAAGTCGAGAGAGGTTTAGTAAAAGTCCCGAGGAGCGTAGAGCCGAGGGACTTTTACTAAACCTATCGAGGCTTGAGGGACATTTCATCACTAATCGACCGTAATGCCATGTTATATGCCAATGCATAGTTAACGAGGGAATCGCGACTGGTGTGTTGCCTGTTTTGAATGCTGTTTGATTGTCTTATGATTGTGGTACGAACACTTTTCATATATACGCACGCGCAGAAACACATTACCGCGTTCATTGGCGTTTTAGGCATGCGCATAAACGGAATTTTCTCCCACAATTGAAATGCTCAAGATTATGGAATAAAATCGGGCAAAGTGATTGTTCGAATGTGTACGGGACGGTGTCGTCAGATACTGTCCATAGTTGTGCCGATGATTTTCGTACGATGATACGGATGATTTTCGATGATGAGGTACAGCTATCCAATCAGAGGTAATGAGGTACGCTTTTGTCCTCTAAATTTTCCTCATCAAGCATGCAGGAGAAAATTAGAAGACAAAGAAATCCTTTGTTTTGAACTAAATTTACCTCATCAAGCATGCAGGGGGAAATTAGAAGACAAAAAATTCCTTTGTTTTCAACTATTAGAAGACAAAAGCATATGCATGGGTAACAAGGTGGGTTGACTACAACATTTTTGTAGTTCGCTATAACTACAGCTACTTCAAAAATATGTAGTCAGCTACAACTACTACTACTTTTGAACAAAGGTAGTTCGCTACTGACTACAGCTACTGCTTAAAAAATGTAGCGAACTATTTCGCTATTTCGCTAATCTATATTTTTTAGCTTTACTGTATTTGGAGCATCTACTATTAACTCAGGCTGTAACGTAACCTATAACAAATCGACTTACGAGTAGCAACAGACAACAGAAAACACAAAGCAACATTTTTGTAAGCACTACAGTGTTCAGGAGTGCAAATGGACCATTGAGTATTGATTTTAAGCAGACCGTGTCTCAATATCATGCTATTCTATCAAGTTACTAATAATTTTAAAAAGTAGCGAATAGCGATTCGCCGTTTGAAAAGTAGCCAACTACTTGGCTACTTTTAGGCAAAATGTAGTTCGCTATAACTACAACTACTGTTTTAAAAAAGTAGTCAAAAACTACTGGCTACTTGAAAATTGTAGTTCGCTAAACCGAGAAACCGAGTTAACTATGATATTAATATATATATATATATATATATATATATATATATATATATATATATATATATATATATATATATATATATATATATATATATATATATATATATATATATATAATCGCCATATCTTGGGTTTTTACTCACACTTTATTATATTTCAAACAACTAACTTTTTACAACGTGTACACGGCCTTATATAGAAAACACACACTTCATTTACATAATAACAGTACATTTACATGCATACATATCTATCGCGTGTCTACACTCCCCGCCGATGAGGAGTTCTCAAGCGACTCATCTCTACATCAATATCTAAAGACACGGCACAGTATACTCATTCATGATTATAACTATATAAGTTTATATGGTTTAGCACCACACGTTTAAACATGATTAACATTTAATTATCACACTGTTCCAAGAGACTAATGTTCACAATTGGTCGGGTTAAGACAGTATCCTTTGTTTTAATCTCTACAGTTCTTATACGATTGTCTCGTCCAGGAAAAACTCTTCTTACTATCGCAATAGGCCACAATCCTCTTGGTATCTTCTTTTCATGTACCAAGACCAAATCTCCGACACGAACATCGCGTTGAGGCTTTAACCATTTCTGACGTAAATGCAAAGTAGTCAGGTATTCTCGTACCCATCTAGTCCAGAAGTGGTTTGAAAGGATTTGAGCTTGCTTCTACTTTCTTCTACCAATAATCGAGTCTTCGTTAAAATCTCCAATGGAACAACAACTGCTGGTCTCTGCAGCAAAAAATGGGCAGGCGTAATGGCGATAGCATCAGCTGCATCCTCGCTTGATCTCGTTAGAGGACGTGAATTAAGTATCGACTCTACCTCACAGAAAACTGTTCGCAGTACATGTTCTGTTACCAAGGCCCCCTTTAAGATTGCTTTCAATGCACGTTTTGTCTCCCTTATTAGCCTTTCCCACACGCCAGAGAAATGCGGTGCATTCGGTGGGTGAAATATCCAGTCAATTCCTCGCTGGGATAATTGATCTTCAAGACGATCTTCACTCCAAGCTTTCGTTGCACTTTTTAACTCTTTATCAGCCCCACGGAAGTTCGTGCCACAGTCCGTTCGTATTTCTTTCGGGGTTCCACGTCGGGCGATAAATTGTCGCAAAACATTAATGAAATCGTCAGTTTCTAGTGACGGTGCGACTTCCAGGTGTATTGCACGAGTGGTCATACACGTAAAAATGCATCCCCATCTTTTAGGCGTAGATCGACCTTGTCTTATTAACAAAGGTCCGAACATGTCAATTCCCACGTAAGTGAACGGTGGTTCATACGCCATAACCCGACATGGTGGTAAAGGTGCCATTTGTTGTTGGAGCTTTGGAGCGTGTCCCTTTCTACAGACAAAACATTTGTTGATAATCTTCCGAACCAGGGAACGAGCGTTACAGATCCAAACTCTTTGGCGTAATATATTCAAGGTATGCTCTTGACCAATATGGGCATTACTACAATGGACGTGTCTTGCTAACAGCTCTGATACCCAATGTTGCTTTGGTAGGATTGGTGGAAACTTCGCATTGTAACTTATATGAGCGTATTCTAATCTGCTTCCCACTCGAATAATATTGTTCTCACCAATAAAAGGATTGAGCTTCGCGATGCTGCTTGATATCTTTACTTTCCCCGATTTGCTGAGGGCGTTGTATTCTTCTGAAAACACTTGCTGCTGGATCATTCTTATGATGTCGTTCTCTGCATTTTCTAACTCAGGAATGGTGGGTTTTCCGAGAGGACATATGTGAGAGCGATGAAGGCGATGACTCAAGAGAAACGCAAATCTGGTTAGCCACACGATCTTTGCCTTGAGCACGTTCCATGATGAATATCTTTCTAATAGTTCGTATATAGCTGGTCTTTTTACTTCAACCACTACATTGGATTGGATTAGAATTTCAGGATCTTCCTCTTCTATATCTTTCCGCAGATTTGTCTGTGGCCAACTCGATTCAGGACCTTTTAAAAATGACGGACCAACCAACCACCGACACTCGGATGTCATTTCAGATGGTTTCAGTCCACGAGAGGCGTCATCACTCGGATTCTCTTTACTTGGGCAATATCTCCACTGTTGCACTTCGGATTTTTCTCTGATTTCGGCTATACGATTACCAACATATACGGTAAATCTTTTATCTTCATTCTGAATGTACTTCAGCACAACTTCTGAATCGGTCCAGTAGCAAATCTTGCTGAATGTTATTTCAATTTCACGCTGTATTATCTCGCTGATTCGAACCGATAATACCGCTGCTTGTAACTCTAGGCGTGGTATGGATATCTTTCGCAATGGTGCGGTGCGAGATTTACCAAATACAAGTGAACACGTTACTCTTCCATCGATAAACTCAGTTCGAAGATACGATGCAGATCCGTATCCAATTTCACTGGCGTCAGAAAAGTTGTGAAGTTGGACTTCCTTGACGCACTTTGTCATATCACAATCATTAACCTTGTTGGTAGCAGCTACGGTGGTCTTGTAACAACGTGGAATCTTGATTTTCGAAAGGGCTGAAAGATCATTCTTCCACCGTCTCCAGTCTCCTAATTCGGCTTCAGCAAGTTGCTCGTCCCAATCAACTTTCTTTTGCCAAAGTTTCTGTAGTAGTGACTTAGCTAATAATGTTACTGGCGCGGCGAATCCCATCGGATCATACAATGAAGCGACGGTCGACAAGATTCCTCTCTTCGTCTCTGGCTTATCTACGTCGATCACTTTGAATTCAAATGCGTCTTCTTCAACGTTCCACTGAAGTCCGAGAGCTCGTAATATCGGTAAGTTATCTAGGTCTAAATTCAACATTGGATTTGCTCGCTCTGACTCCGGTATAGAAGCTAGGACCTCCTTGCTTGAACTTATCCATTTAGTTAAACGGAATCCTCCTCTTCTGAGAAGTTTCATCAAGTCGCTGGCGAGTTGCTTCGCATCTTTAACGTTGGGAAGTGATTTCAATAAATCGTCCACGTAGAAATCTTTTTCCACGGCATTCACTGCTGCTTCACTGAAGTCACAAGCGTTATCTCTCGCCGTTTTCTTCAATGCGTAGTTGGCAATAGACGGGGAATCTTTAGCTCCGAATATATGAACATTCATATGGTATTCTTCTGGATCATCTAAGTTGTTTGAGGACCAAAGGAACCTCAACGATTCTCGATCTTCTTTGGTGAAACATTTCTTGGATGTCAGCTGCAATAGCTACTTCTTCTTTGCGAAACCTCAATAGCACTTCGATTATCTCGTTAGCCAAGTTAGGCCCATGGAGAAGTTCGTCATTTAATGATGTTCCTTTGAATTTAACTGCTGCATCATATACTATGCGGATTTTGCCGGGTTTTGCAGGGTGAAAAACGGGGTGGTGAGGGAGATACCAAGTTCTCTTGGAAACGTTTGTTTCTTCAGGTTGTAATTTGCTTGCGTAGCCTTTCTCAACGTATTCTTCTATTTTGGTTTGATATTTCGTATGTAACTCTTTGTCTTTCTTGAGGCGATTTTGGAGGTGTCAAAAACGCTTGAGCGCAACATCTCGGTTGTTTGGTAGTTGAGAATCCTCAGTTTTCCACAACATACCAATTTCATAGTGTCCATCGACAATCACTGCTGATTCTTCCATCATCTTTTCTGCTTTCTTATCTTCGACGGACATTGCCTTCTTGATACTCGTTACCACACCAAGACCATCTTCATAGAAAAACCGATTCACTTCGTTCTTAAAAGCTATGTCTTCCATATCGGCGTTTGTACGCTGCAAAAGATGGACGTCAACTTGACTTGTCTGAGGCCGATTTGTTGGTCCCATCAAGGCCCATCCCAACTTGTATTTGAATCCCCAAGGCTCCTCCGCGCCACCTGCTCTGATTTCGTGAGTTATGAAAACCTCGGGATTATCAGCACCAATCAGAACGAGAATGTCCTCCAATTCAACTTCTGGGAAGTCAATGTCTGACAGGTGTTTCCATGCTCGTACGTCATCCCTTGTCGGTGCGACTTTCAGCTGCACGTCTAAACTGTCCGTAACGATTACGTCCCTGGCTAGTAATCTCGAACCGTGGCTAGTTTGGTTTGCTGATTCCAAGACGACATTAACTTTTTCTGTTTCAATTGAGATTGTTCCAGTCAACGACTTCACCGACAGTGTACCTCTCGAACCCTTCAAATTAAGTTTCTTTGCTAAGCTGGTATGGATGAACGAGGCTTTGCTTGCTTGATCTAACAGGGCGTAGGTAGTTATCTCTCGACCATCAGCACCATGTACCTTAACTGCCACGACTGGAAGCGCTGTCGTGCCTCGACTTACTTGTGGAAGGATATTTGCAGCATTCGTCTGAACGGTGGCATCGCGCTTTGTCACTTCATTGACTTTGGATTTTTCTACCTTTATACTGGCCAAATGCAACAGTTCATGGTGTCTTCTGTTACAGCTTTCGACTTGACATCTGCTTTCCTTGCAAAATCTCTTATAATGTCCGGTTGAAAGACATTGGAAACATAACTTGGACTCGAGCACAACTTTCCATCTCTCGACCGTTGGCATATTGAGGAATTTCTTGCACACCTGAAGGTTATGATCGCCTCGACAAACATGACATACTAGAGCTCTTTTTTCGTATGCAGAACCAGGTCGTTTGAATCCATACTGGGTTGCGAAACTTGAAATGAGCTCTTCTCTTTTCTTCCTTTCTTCTTTCTTCATGCGATTGGCATTATCTTTTTCCGAATCTTTTAAGTTCCCATATAGTGGGTTATTCTCGGATTGTGCTCTCTTTTGAAGGAATTCTGTCAAGTCTCGGAAATTCGGTGGCGAACCTCTTTCTCTTAATATGACACTGGCACGATCTCTCCATCTAGATTGATTGTAGTACGGTAAACGAGCCACAATCTTTCGCATATGATCAGTGTTGATTTCATTAAGACTTTTCATCGATTCAGGGTCTTTAAGACAGACTGACATTTATCAGCTAACTTCTGAAGGCTTTTTCCATCTCCGTTCATAACGCTTGGACCTTTCACAATTGACACGATAAATGCGTCAACAATCATGTAAGGTTGCCCAAAACGAGTTTTCAAGACACTCAAGGCTTCTAACAAGGCTCCAGATCCCATTCCTTCATACCTCTCGACAGCCTCTTTCGCTTTACCATCTAAATATTGCATTAAACGGCTAAGCTTCTTGCTCTCTTGAATTGGCTGAGAAAGCACTTGATCGCGAAACCGAGTAACGATAGTCTCCCATAAACTTCGTTATTTCTATTGGTGGTGTATGTGATAGATTAGCAAGCGCTTCGGCCAGTTGTTGTATTGTATTCGAACCCGTATATCTATCGCTAATGTCAATTACGGGATTAGTTTTAACATTTTGCTTTGACTCGTCGAAGTGGAACTGACCTTTTGTTCCCGAAGACGTAAATTTGACCGGCGAAGCGTAACGATATTCAAATTTAGGCGCTTCAGTGCGTTCATTAAAATCTGCATGCTCATAAAATCTCATCTGCATACAATCTTCGTTCTTCTTCGACAGCATACCGTTCTTCTAGCTTAGCAATCTCAATTTCATCTTCTAACTTCTGCTGCTCTATAGCTTGACGCATTTCTAACTTACGACGTTCGACGTCTTTCTCAACACTTTGTCGATCGCGTAGCTGTTTCAGATATAGCTCAGCTTTTTCTCGCTTTAATCGCATCTCACGCGATTTCGAGCTTGCTATTGATTTTGCAGACGACAACGAATTAGACGAGCTTAAACTAGCATTACTTCTAGTCTCAAGTTCGTCTGGTATAGTTTTTTCCCTATCGTGAAATTGTAAATATTGACTAACTTTGTTTAATAGCTCTGTCTTTCTAGCGAACTGCTCGTTGTATGCATGCATAGCACTCGCTACGGTTGAATGGTCATTATAGGCAAACAACAAAACTTCATTATGTACTAGATTAAACCGTTCCCACTGTCTATTAAATAGCTCTAAAAGTTCCTTTACAGAGTCCACATTATAAGTATCATATAAAAGAACACTTATCTTATTATTCAGCTCTGTTAAGTGCCCTTGATGTCCACTTCTTGACCTCTGTAACTTTAACATTCGCTCGGCGTTCACGGCATCTTGGTCTAAACGAATATTAGGCCTTCTTTCGCGTTTATCTCTCTGATACACGTCTTGGCCAACTGCTCCAAACTGAGCAACATCGTCTCTTTCTCCCAATCTCGCTCGTCTTAACTGTTCATTCACAAGCTCGTCGGTTCCAACTGCTTGAACACCATCGTGTGTCCCAAGTCATTATTATACATTTCCAGACTTGTTCGTTGTTCATCCCTCTCACCAAGGTCTACAACACTCGGGATCACTTTAAACAACTGAGAATAGACTAAATATCTGGTTCGAAGGACCATTTGTAATCGCCATATCTTGGGTTTTTACTCACACTTTATTATATTTCAAAACAACTAACTTTTTACAACGTGTACACAGCCTTATATAGAAAACACACACTTCATTTACATAATAACAGTACATTTACATACATACATATCTATCGCGTGTCTACAATGCCAAATATAGCTTCTTAGTGCAAGGCACCGACCATATGTATTAACCAATTTGTGCAAACACTATCAACACAAGGAAAATGGATCGCGCATCTGACAGGTTCAAGAGGTTTTGACATTTATCGCAGATTTGTAACGCATCTGTGGGGAAATTAATGAAATAACAAATTCCAACCATGCTACGTGTTCCTGAGTCGTCATTTCCTGCTATTGTAAGTGCATCCAACCTTGTTCATTGCAGCGAATTGTAGTCACATGCACACGCATCATATATTTACAATTTTGCAAATAGATGCAGAAAAACAATATGTATATTATTATTTTATTATTATTATTTAATGTTATTTATACACGGTAACTTATCAACCAAAGCATAAAAATAAATATATATATATATATACAATGCTTTCTACTATTGAAATTAAGATACAATATTTTCTAACGTTTTCTAAAAGGTTGCTTTTCATAAGGCCGTGTTTAACAAAGTCTAACTACTAATTACTATAACTTAATTATTATTTAATTAATTATCTAATCTAACTATATATATAAACTAACAAAAATAAATGCATATATGCGAAATTACTGATAACTTGCATAGTTTGTCAAAAATGAAGTATTTTCACAAATAAAATCATGTAAAATGCATTTAAAAATATTATCATTGACTGTGAGATCTTTAAGCTCAGATGGGAGATTATTCCATGTTTTAGCTGCATGATAGCTAAAACTCTGTTTCATTGCATTTGTTCTTGGTTTTGGAAGCATCAGCATAATGTGATTACTACGTAAATTATATTGGTCATTTACCGCAATTTGAAACTGCTCTGTTATTGAATTAGGAACCTTGTTTTTCAGTGCTTTACGCATGAATAAAAGCATTCCTTCTAATCTTAACTGATTTAAGGGACGCCAGTTTAGTTTACTAAGGACATCTGTGGAACATATTTCCCAGCTATCTCCAGTAATTACTCTTGCAGCCCTATTTTGAAGCTTTTGAAGTTTTGATTGTAACATTAAGTTACAATTTTGCCATACAAGAAAACAATAATCAAAATAAGGCTGAACAAGTGCATTATAAATTTGTTTCAAAATACTCTCAGTAACAAAAGGTTTTATTAATTTTATTGCACCTATTCCATGTGAAACCTTTTTGCTGATACTGTCAATATGGTCCTCCCATCTTAACCTATCGTCAATGATTACGCCAAGACTTTTTGTTGTGTTAACTCTGTTAAGAAACTCATTACCTATTCTAATCATTGGATTTTCAGTGATCTTGCTCAGCTTAGAGCGAGAGCCAATGATCATATATTCCGTTTTAGAGACATTTAGTGTTAGTTTGTTTGCTACCAACCATTGGTGAATATTGTCAAGGTCACTGTTCAAGTGAACCTCTAATTCTTCTAAAGATTCTGCTCGTGTGGAAACATTAGTGTCATCTGCAAACATTGAAGGTTTTGAATGCTGGAGACAATTTGGCAGGTCATTGATATAAATGAGGAATAACAGAGGGCCTAAGTTCGATCCCTGAGGAACACCACATTGAATTAATTGTTTAGCTGATTTAACATTATTTATTTTACAAATTTGATATCTTTCATTCAAATAAGATACAAACCACTTCAGAGCATCATCTGTAACTCCATAAAGTTTTAGCTTATTAAGTAATATTTCATGATCAACTGTGTCTCAAATGCTTTCCGTAAATCCAGAAACAAAACACCGTTTATAAGACCTTTATCGATATTCAAAAGCCAATTATTTGTAGCATTTAACATAGATGTTAATGTTGAATGTGACTTTCGAAATCCGAATTGATTGTTTGACAATATGTTATTTTCATCTATATAGGTAATTAATTGATTGTAAACAATTTTTTCGAATATTTTTGCCACTATTGATAGTACGGAAATAGGTCTATAGTTGCTACAGTCAGTTTTGTCGCCATCTTTAAAAATAGGCAAGACAAAAGCAGTTTTTAAATCCTCTGGAAATATTCCTTGTTGCAAGGATCTGTTAAAAATTAATGTTAATGTTTGACAGATTACTTCAGCAGAATCCTTGACAAATCTGGCACTTATTTTATCTGGCCCGGCCGCCTTTGATGTTTTTAAACCTTGAAGCAACTTTAGAGTGTCATTTTCAGTAATGTCGTTGAAGGTAAATGTAGTATTAGCAGAATATTGCACAAAATCAACGTAACTTTTTTCACTCTCCGGTAAATCTCCTGATAGTGATGGACCCACATTAACAAAATACGAATTAAGTGTTTCTGCAATATTCTTGTCTCCTACAACAGTATCATCTTCTTGATTTAGGGAAGAAATATTTGTTGTTTTCGAACCTTTGCCTCTAATGATATTGACACTTTTCCAAAGCTGCTTTGGGTTATTAATATTACTGTTTATTATGCTTTTGAAATGTTCTGACTTAGCTTTTTGTATTATTTTATTGGTTTTGTTTCGTGCTACTTTATAAGCTTGGTAGAAATACCGAGAATTTGTCCGAGTTGCCTTTTGTTTTAAATAGTCTCGATGATTCATCTCCTTTTTAATTTCACTAGTTAACCATGGGGTGTGTTGACTTCTAACTTTACGTATTCTTAGTGGAGCATGCTTTTCCACTATAGAGGTAAACACATTACGCCATTTTAGCCACATTACGTTTGGGTCTAGTTCTAATTCTAGTCCTATAAAAGAAGAATTAAGCATATTTAGCAAATCACTTTTAAATGCGACTTTGTTGTAGTTTTTGAAAGATGTTGACTCCACAATTTTAGGAAGTGATTTGCCGATGGATACCTTTGTACTTACATAGATCATATAGTGGTCACTAATGCCGATTCGAATCACCCCACTGGTATTTACTTTATGAGGATTATTTGTAATAAATACATCGATTAATGATTGAGAATAATTTGTGATTCGAGTTGGTTCTGTAATAATTTGTTTTAACTGATAGACATCCATGATATCCATAAGTCGCCTGCTATTGGCGTTATTCTGAACGTCTAATAAATTGCAATTTAGATGCCTACTATTTGGTATTCCTTATCTTCGGCTTCAAGATTACGAATCAATATTTCAAATTTATCAAAAATTTCGACCAGACTGTTTGGTGGTCTATACCAGGTAATAACAAAGAAGGGCTTGCTTCTATTCTTTCTTATTTCCAGACAAATCGCTTCAAGACCATCAGGAATTAAGTCTGTTCGTGAATAAGCATTTATAGCTGTCTTAACATACAAAGCAACTCCACCACCTTCCCGGTTTCTGTCAGCTCGGAAAATGTCATAACCATTAATGTTAACAAAGCCATCATCTATATTACCGCTTAATCTAGTTTCATTAATATGTAACATGGTTTGTCTTTTAAGTGGATTCTAAGTTCATCAATATGTTTAACCAAGCTTGCAATATTTAAGTGCATAATTGAGAAGCCTTTTAAGTTATTCATATTTATGATATTCGTATCCTGACTGGAGTTTGGGTCAGGTAATTCCTCAGGGATCGTTATGTTGTGTTCAGGTAGCCGCTCATTCATTAATGGTTTATTTTGTGATTCAAATGCATCTAAGCGACATGAGTCCGCATCACAAATTGAGCCACCTAATCTGTATTTTGATCGCGCTAGTCAACAGTTATTTACAATATGAATCTTAAAATTGTTAGCTAATGCACTTGAGCCTCGTTTGTTTAGGTGTAAGCCATATGAATTTAGATGTGCATTATTAATGTTATTGTTTTCAATTAATCTCCAGTTTTCTTGCTCGCAAAGATTGCTCATGAGTTTATTCACTTCTCTAGATTTGTTGTTCAAATTACTTTTATCATTTCTAACGATTACCTCTGAAAGGGAGACGTCCATCTTTGAATTGCGTTGTTTTGCCAATTTCCCCAGACTTGCCATATCTCTAACAATGTCAGCCGGTGTCTTGGTTTTCAAATCATTCGTTCCAGTGTGAATTATTATATGCTTCGGATTCAGAGAAAGAGTCAGCTTTATATAGTGCTTCATGTCAGCAGTTTTGGCACCAGAGAAAGTTCTTACAAGGATCTTCTTGTTTGTGCTTTGTCGAAGTTTCCAAGCGTCGACATGCTTGATCATAGAGTCCCCTAAAATCGCCACATCACATGGGGCCGTCTCGGGTTCACCCTTTTTTTCAACGTTAACTCGTGGACGTTGTGCTTTTGGCTGTGTGCTCGACACTTTGGGACTTTCTTCGTTACACGGGTCCTTGACTTGTAGTATCTCGTATTGATTTGAGGTAGTCGCTCGTTGTCCATTATGCTGTTTCCATCACTTTGTTTTGCTGATTGCCCGTCATGTTTTTTGCTTTCGTCTTGCTTGGTTGGATACTTCGACTTCGACTCAACATTTCTCCACGGATTTTGGGATTGTTCATCTATATTCTCCGATACTTTAGTCATTTTGTCTTGCATTAGGATTGTTAGAGCTAATCGAAGGGAATCCCTTTCTGCTTCGGCTTTTGTGGCACGGTCTTCAAGCGATTCAATATTCGTTTTTAGTTTTTCTGATGCTTTCTTTTCTCCAGCCAGCTCTTGTTGTAGTCTTGTAATCTCTACTTCGGAGTTTAAATCTTTAATCGTATTCAAGTTATACGACGCCGAAGCTTTTATCTGCTGCTGCAGTATGACAATGTCTAGCTTTACGCCCTCTAGATCTGCCGCCATTAGCTCGCAACTGCATGTTTGATTCTTGTTTGATTTCGATTTTACATCGGTTTCGCTAACTTCATCTTGCACATTAGTAGAGTCACTTAATTTAACTGTTTCGTCCAGCAGTGATTGCTCTAAACGTTCGACCAGAGCTGCTTTCAGGCCTGATTTATCAAGGCTTCTTTTGTCGAGCTCTGACCGAAGATTGACCACACGAAGTTGGTTTAGTTTTTTTCCATTGACGTTAGCCATATTTGCCAAACACGTTGCTTTCAGAGTGATAATAATCTTGTTGATGTTGTGTTAGATTACCACCGTTTTGCAGGCTGGTTCAATGTATAACAAATACAAATCTTATAAAAAAAATTTGAAATTTAGCAGAGCAAAAAAAGCATGTCTGATCTCCTGCGTGGTTGCTAAAATCATGAATATAATGCGTGTACTATGCGCAAACTGGTAAAAAACAGTTTAACAATTTGCATATTATATACACATTATATTTAATAATTGGCTAATATGCTCGTAATTAAATATGAATATAATGCGCGTACAAGGGCCCGAGTGCATTGGCCAGTATCCACGGTATATGAAATAAATATTCGTAATTAATAAAATACATTAACTGAAGTTAGTTAAATAATATCATCATCCTGTTCATGCCATTGCCTAGTCTATGACGATCTATGAGACTATGACGTATCAAGTTAATAGCCTGTTGCCGTACTGATTCAAAAATGCTTTTGCTACTCTGTTTAACCATGTGTAATCATGCAGTTAAAGTTTTACGTACCAAATTAGCTCAAGAGACAAAACTGCATTAATCAGCAACATAAAAAATGGCTTTGTCATTAAACCATGCAAGATGATGCAAGCAAACGTGCGTCAAAAATATTTTTGTCTCCTCACTATAGTTGACAGCGATGAATTATCTGTATAAATTATGTCATTGGCAGATTTTATCTAATTAGCGATACATGCAGGAATGCCAACTGAAGCATATAAATTTATTATTAATCTCGTGTGCAGTGATTTCTGTGATCCTAGCGAATGTACAGTTAATTATCCTTTTTAAAAAAAAGAAGACGGAGCTGAATGAAATTTTAGGAAAATTGGGATCAATGCACTTTATCAATAATTGGCTTGCGTGTGTTTGCCCATCATGCTTCTTTTCCTTCCTATATACCTACGTCAGTCCTTAATTAAAAATGTTCTAGATTTTAAATGCATTGGTTTAATCCATGACAACATTAAATAGTGACATTGCAAAAAGTGAAATATGTTACTTTCGAAAGTATAAAAGCCAGTTTACAAAACACCACCGGATAAAATTAAAGCTAAATTATCAAACACGAGTTATATACTGTCTAAAACCTCTCTGAAAAAAATCGAAAGTAAGGAACAACAAGTGGCTGAAATAGATTCCAGCGCTGCGCCTTTAGATTTATCGACACAAAATACACTTTTTTTTTACCAATTCAACCGGAAAGTCAGGATAAACCAAGAAACGTTGGAAACGAACCCTGCACGAAACCTCCTCCATTTATAAGTACCGTTAAGGAAATGTGTGAGAGATTTAGTCAGCATATGAAGAAAGCAAATGGAATTGATTCAAATAAAAAGGTTTGCATGAAAAGATGGAAAGACAAAAATAAACGAATTTATGGAGTGAAAGTGGTAAGTGCGTATTTAAATTATAAATAAATAAAACTATATAAGAGTCTATTATTTTATTTCATGTTCGTAACGCTATGCAGTTTTTCTTTTTTTTTTTCATTTTGTGTTTAGACTTTAAAAAATTTCGAAAAGATAGCGCAGTTGTCAGAACGATGTTTTGCATTAGTTACTGAAATAGAGAGAACATTTCTAGAAGGTGGGTTGCCGAGCGCTACAAAGGCCAAGAGCATATCACAAGCTTTTTTTCATTTTCTCACTGGAAAGTCCAAACAAGAATCATTCGATCTTCTTTCAATGATACTTGAAGGAAAGAAAACAGCAACGGAATTAAACTATATACCAGGTGGAAAGGTATTATGAATACTACATTTATTACTACAAAGGGTGAGAAAGTATTCGAATCCGTCCATTTCATATATAGCTCAGACTTATGACGTCACTGTTTTGAAACATTATTTATTTATTGTGTATTAAAATTAATACAATTTTCAAATGTCAGAACACCCTTAAAATTATTAATCATAATTTTTATGCATTTAATTAGAAAAGGACTTGTCAAATTGAAATTGGAACCGATGCCGATGCTTTAAAAAAGGTAAAAAGGTTGATAATGTTTGCTGTCATGAATGCTCAAATGTACTTTCAAACGCTCATTAATAATTCATAAGTTTATTGGCAAATCATATCAACCATAATATGTCATGTGCAGTGGCTTTAAACCTGATAAAACACTCCTAATTAGTATTCTTTAAATAACGAATACTAATAAGGCAGTATCTATATATTGCTGTCGTGTCCTCATTAGTATTCTTTATATAAAGAATACTAATAGGGCATTATATCTATTGAATTTGTAGTCGTGTTTGAAGCCGTTTAATAAACTCGCACTGGGTCGTGTTTTATTAGGTCTAAAGTCACTCGCGCTGTGCGCTCGTGGCTTTAAACCTAATAAAACACTCCTGCTCGTTTATTAAACAGTACATAATACTATATACTTAAGACATAATTTTTGCTGAATTAAGAGATTCAAATTAACATGCGTGGTATAACCGGAATCCTGTATCCAGTAATTTGGTTCAGTTAAAACTATAAAAACATCATATGATGGTGCATTTGTATCTTCTGTGCTTTATCGTCATCACAATGAGTTTGGTATATATATGTTATTCAGAAACTGGAAATGGTAACTGACGAACTTCAAAAAGAGAAATATGCTTATGAATTGATAAAAGAAAAATATAAAAAGGTAAACATGCATGCACTGTTTGTTCAAAAGAGTCAAAATGACATACACGATGCCAAAAGATTAACGCTGCATGCATGTAACTATATTTTCACTATCTGTACTTATTTCAGAGTATTTCAAAGCAAAATGAATTAGAACAAATTGTGGAAGGTCTGCGAAACAGGGTGGTTAACCAAGAAACTACAATTGATTTACAACTTAAACGTCTTCATAAAGTATGGGCCTATATTTTTGTTCTTTGTCTCAGGTATGGAGCCTATTTTTTAAAAACTTACAATTATATTTATTTAATTATCTAATTCAAGTTCACTGAGAATCATCACAAGTGGGCAGAGCATTATCGGGATTTAATACAGCTGGGGGATGCCACGCAAGATAGAGCTAGGTATACCAATTTTTTATAAATTAACTAATTATCACTGACATCTCTCTATACTCGACCTTGCAGTCTTTCACTCCCAAATAAGACGTGTTTCATTCTAATCTTTCATTGTGCTATACACACATACAAATGCTGAATTGAATTCAACTTGTGAGTGATTTTGTCCATTCATACGACGCATTTGCTTCCTCTGCCCATATGCATGTGGGATAATTTAGTCAAAAATCGAGTCAGTGATACAGCTAATTCAATGAACTCAATTCGATCCACCAATATTAATTTCCGACATATATGACGGGAAGATTAAATATTAAAGAACTTCGCGAGTATTTGCAGTAGACATACGAAAATACCATAAAAAAATTCCGCTTGATCGATACTATATATTCAGAAATATTCATATAATTTTATTGTTTCTCACTCAATTTCAAGTGAATTTCTTACCTTGAAATGATCAATGCGGTGAAATTTATGCAAATGACACATTATCAATTTTGCTGTTGCATTTTGAATGTTCCGCCTGATTCAAATGCTCGTCTTTTTGCTTCTTTTCAACGTATAATAATAACAAATATACCAAAAGAATCGCCATCTTCCATTCTATAGCTCGGAGCAGTCTCGGGAAATTGCGAAATAATCTAAGCCTATTATGGCAATTCTCGTGATCGGAAAGTGTTCGGCCAACTTCGGACGCCAAATTCTTGGTAAAGCATTACAGTTTCCTGGTAAAAGACTGCAGGAATCACTTCCAGAGTGTTTGTTTACCCTAGATACGGATTTTGATTGGCTTAGGCAGAAAAACAAATCTTTTAGAGCAATTTTCCTGATTATCGCGCACGGGAACGCACGAGCGTTGAAATGTATTGTGTTGTAGTTTTGTTTGAATCGCATTCTGAAGACGTTTTTGGCTTTATTTTGCAAACTGATAGTGCTAGTAATGATGGAATGTCTTCGTATGAAGACAAGTATCTCAACCTGGCATTGGGAGTCGTGTCTGGAGTTTCAAGGCAAGTATTTGTATCATTTCTGACAATTTCTATTTCAATGTTTTGCCGTTGCCATGGCGTTGTAAATTTATTTGTATTTAGTATAGCTTCACTAGTACGACCAAGTATGTCCTTATATCGCTTTTTTGTGTTGAAATAATAGTTTCATACTGAAATTGATAAATATAAATGATATTTATTTATATTGTTGACGGTGTTTTAGGCATAAAAATCTCTGATTCCTAGGCGAAGTAAAATGAGCCTTGAGAACATGTTTGGTTGTTTGTTACATACATAATAGCCAAGTATTCATACTTATATCTTACTAGTTTGGCTCTTATTATAATTTTAAGTGGCACCATGTCTATAAAAGTTTTTATTCGCACTGATGAATATATTGATCCTGTTCCTATCTGCTGTTCCTGTTTCATAGCCTCAGGGAAGTAGAGTTCTGATGAGTCATGAGAACCCCACTCACCAACCCAGAGGGAAGGTAGGGGGATGAGTAGAGGTAGAGGGAAGCCCAGCCATTAGGACCTAAGGTTTCGAAAGCTCCCTGTCTAGCATCCCCACTAGGCCCCATAGTACATGACGGATATGATGATCCTGACGCCAGGAATGTTCTCCCAGATTTTGCTCCTCACTGACATGTCCGGGATCGATTTCGATCAACTGTGAGCTTGAGTTCATTCGGCTCAATGAACTGTGAGCTTGAGTTCATTCGACTCTTTTTTACTAAGGGAATGCTTCAGGAGGTAGTTTCCTGGCCATACCAATACATATGCCCACATACAAATAACTCAAAAGTTATCCCCATATACTGTACTAATAAAAAAGGGTCTTGCAGTCCACCAACCTTGAGAGGTTGATGATGGCCTTTTAGTATAATATGCAGGTTTGCTAAAGGTCGACAGTGAGATTGAAAATTATTGGAGTGTAAAAACCTTATATCATGGTCTGTGGGCAATAGACATAATTTCTTGGGTTAGGTACAAAGGGCTTATGGCGTTTGTGAATATGGTAGATCCTGTACTAAAGACTACAGCAATAAACTGCATCAACAACTGCACCAGCCGTGTTGTTGCAGACAAACACACTGTCAAATCAAGAAATAGGTTGGGGGTTAGTTCATGAAAGCTAGATGACCTACCATGTGGGGATTAAATCTGTGGGTTGCTGCAGACAATCCTAATGGTTATATTGCGACTTTGAAATCTATACAGGAAGAAGTCCAGATATTCATCGCAACAGATTTGGGTATGACGTGGTGATCTGATATCAGTTTGGTTACAGTCTTAGGTCTTTTGTAGTACAATATAAAGGAAATATTTTCACCACATAATCCAATTATGTGCTTTGGCAAACATTACTGCTTTAGCAAACATTACTGCCTTGGAAAACATTACTTTTTTATAACTACTAATTATGATGATGCCAGCCCAACAACACTTGGTCATGCTATTTGCAAATATTTTCATGTTCTAGATTGTGAAAACAATCAATTTCTAAACAAATGAGTAGTGATTATTTCAAAATTTCTGAAACTGGCAAATAAAACAACACATGAAAGAAAACCTTTCCACAATGAACCAATACATTGGAACGTAAAAGAAAACTTTCCAACAATTAGCAAATAGCAAAGCGTTTTCAAGCTAATATATCTATAGATGCTGTTTTTCTGATTTCAACTTTCTGAACAACGCATTGCAAGTATAGCGTCAATGTGGACAGTGAGTACTTTATAATGAAAATGTACACCATATGTTATATGACCAGCAGTTTAAAAGCTCAGATAGAAAGGACAGAAACTGTTGAAACAATACGACGTTATAAGGCGGCAGACTATTGCAGCGATGCCACAGACCCACCGTTCACTGACGCATCACGATGCATACCGCAAGATATATATACGTAATATCGGCAGGAATGTGTTCTCGTATACAGAATTGGAAATATAAAATACTCAACGACTCACATTGAGACTGGTAGAATTTCGTACAGGTACATCGTTTACTCTTTCTCTATTATATGTATATTTAAGATTTAGCACTTCACAAAGCAATATCTAACATGATTTGGTAAAGGTATTTTTCTTTCCAGCCATGAAGCAGATGGCACGAATGTCAAAGACAATTACTGTGATTATTGAATATATTGCGTATAGCTATATAGTGCCATACGTAATACATTCATTCACAGTTAGTTTAGTTTTACTACGAATTAAATAGTACAAGGCTATGGCAACCATGGTGTGTCTATATAATAACTATATTATCCTAGTATTCACGAAGTGTGCTTAACATTATTTGCGGCGATTCGAAATATGATACGGCATGTTGAATACAGCGCATATGGTGACATGCAAAACATTCACTGGATGAATAAACCTCTTTTATATATCTCTTGTAAGCAGCATTATGTTAAAGCATGTGCGGTTTAAGACAATATGCAAACAATTTGAACCGACTGTAATAAAGGAGGGCATGTATAGTTGCGGGTGACAGGCTATATTTATATATCCTTTGTTCTGACAAGTATGAAGTTTTCCTCATGACCAAGTAAAGAGCTCAAAAAAGGTGCAATCAGATTACTTAATGCAAGAAGACCTCCTAAACTATGCAAGAAACTCAGTTAAGGAGATGAAATTCTGGAGACAAAAGTGCCAACGGTTAGAGGAATACAGAAATAAAATGACCTCAGTTGGACCTAAAACAGATAATGATCTGCAAGAAATGTTTAAGAAGATGTACAATGGAATTTTGGAAACTAAAACTCATCTGAAAAATCCCATATGTAAATGGAAGTGTGCGCCAAAAGATTTGAAAATGTCGATTTCCTTTTTAATCACAGCAAACAACATGTTGAGAAACTGAAAACTGTTGCAGTTGCCTCAGCAGAAGGCAGTATACATGTCAATGGGAAGAATGTAATAAACAGTTTCAAAAATTAAAATTACTCCATAATCATGTGAGAGATCATACTGGATATGTCAAAGATGAACTAATGGAGAATCTGCTGAAGGATCAAGCAATGGCTTTGAACACACTGGCCAAACAGATGAGATGGCACTCGTTGGTTATACAGTGGTGCTTAAAAATGTACTGTAAATCACGCTCTTTGTATGAAGGGATTCGAGCATCTGGGGCCCTGAAATTACCGAGTGCAGCTAAACATCCAGTTTATCAGGGGGACTATGGTTGCATAATTTTTTCCAGCTGCTTCTGGTTGGGTCTTACTGTAAAAAGGTATATACAGTAATGTAGGGTATAAACCAATTGCACCCAGTAGGTCCTACCGACCCATAGCATAAAATTCCATATAATGAAAACAACTGGAGGTCATTCATTATATCCTCTAATGAGTAGTGGCTCCTTTCAGGGTGTCCTCCAGATGTAATGCTGCATGAGCTCATTTTAAGGTCAACTGCAAGAGGTCTATATACAGTACTTTGAATGCACCCTGGGGTTTGTGGGAAGTTTGCACTACTACTTTTTTGCGGCAGATAATGTCTGTTGTAAGCTCTTGTTTGTTTTGGGGGTTTCAGGTGAAGTTGTTCTCTGATTATTTGTTGCTTCGACTTTATAAACATGGAGGTGACTCTTTGTAGAAGGATGACACTTGCTATTTCCTCATCGCCTGATAAGGTACCAACAACCTTCATCCACTCATCACATAAAGCTTTGGCTCTCTGATAGACACTTCAAACACTGGACAACAGTGTTACTATCTATCCCACCTTTGAAAAAATCCTGTACCATTTTGTGCAAAACAATAAAAAGATCCAATACAGTATTGTTTATTATAAAAAGAAATTGTCCTGAATCTTGACGTTGATCAGTCCCAAGCCTACACAAGATTGTAAGTAAACATTGCTTTCACACGGTTTTCTTTACACCAGTGTCATTCTTCGATTTTCTTATTGATATGCCTGTTGATGCACAAAGAATTTGGTCGCATGCTCTTTTTACAGCCCAGCCAGCATGACGGATTGCCTCATATTCTGCTTCGTCCTTTTCTACATTGTCGCTCACCGTGACAATCTCAGATCCAGTTTCCGAACATGGATTACTTTTTAATGCCACAAAGCTCCAAAAATACTAAAGGACATGTTGGTAAACTACATAAACTTCAGACTTGGTCGAGCCTTTGTCCTGACAAACACTGCTTGCAGCCATGAGTTTATTCCATTGGCAAATAACTTCGACGCTTTAGCATGTCTGAGCATTGAAAACTCTGAGCATTGAAGATACAAAACAGCACAATGGGTTCAAACACTTCTTTTCGCATGTATTTGCCAGAATCGTGTTTGCAAGCTCAGCTTCACATTTGATTTTGCTTAAAGAAACTCTGTTGAGAATGGCGATTAGATCATTTACAGTAAAACCAGTAGTTGTTCCAACTACTGGTAAAGAAGAATTTGTATTTGTATCAAGATCAGTGTCATCTAAGTTTGTAATTTGCTGTAATTCTTCATCTTCGCTCAAGCAGCCCGCCATTTTGAAAACAAATGATCAGCGTCCTTCGAATCTATGCGGGGGGTTGCGGTGCATCACACATGTTTCAGCTCATTCACTGGTGTTTCACTGCCCATTCTTATAGACGCCCTGATAGACTCCAGGAACAGCGAAACCATAAGGCAGTTACATGGATGTAATGTTCACAAAAGGGTTATCTTGAACACGTTGATGGCAAGACCACGAAGTGGCAGTCAGTTTGGGGCATATGCTTAATTAGAAAACGTTAATTCTTGGTATATTCCAAGAGGTTCAATATGTTGAATTACTGTATGTTGGCGTCATGCATGTAATGCATGTGCAGCGTGAAAAGGGAAATGTTTACCCTTCATATCAATGTGTGTGCCCAGCGTTTGGTTTGTTTAAGTTTATATTTAATGAAAGGTTTCTCTTTCTGTTTGGCTCTTTCTTTTCCTGTCCGGCATCGTACATTGGTCTTTTTTTCTTAAGGTTGGCTTATGGCCTGCGGGTTGTGCGAGTGATGATTTTATTCCTGATCGACGATGAGATATTGCAGTTGGTTGTACTCTAATTCTTTTGTTTGCGTTATGGAGTATTGGTAACATTTTGCAATTTGTATTTCTGCCAAGTGATACATAACCAGAAGAAAGACTGTTTATTGGAGATTGTCCTCTTGCTTTATTTACAATTTTTTGTAGGTTTCAAGGTATTTACTGTAGCATTTTATAAAGTTTGGATTTCCACTCCGTAACCAAAATTCTATGTCGCTGGATAACTCTTTGTGGAGTTTGATAACGTTGTCTAAGCTTGTCTCCAGTTTGTCTGTGTGTTCATCATCAATGTTTTCGGGTTCGTCGTTTAGTGGCACATACTTTGGAATCTCATTGACAACAACAGGTTCTGTAATCGCTGTTTTAGTCAAGTCAAACTTCTTTTGGTGGATATCTGCAAATTTTTCAGCACACAAGTCTGGATGCTCTCCAATGGCCAATACGAGCTTATATTTATCAATATGGTTTGTCGGTATAAAGTTGCTGTTAGAGATGCTGTACTTAAGCGCAACTGTGACTTGGTGAGGACAGCTGTTTCCATTTTCACCTGCTGGACAAGCACGCATTCCAATTGAAGAGTTAACCACGTAAATTGTTCCCTTTTCTTTCCTACTTGGCACATAAAATTTAAATGGCTCGCCACTGTCTTGTGTAATTGTTGCCAAATTGACCGTGGTTGCTTTTTTTGCCAAAACATCTGGAAGCAGTGTGCAAATTCTGTGGTTTACCAAAAGCCAGTGCTAGTAGTTTACGCTGGAAATACCTGTCGAGGTCCTCCACAATAAATTTTAAAAGTTACACCAAGTTGTACGCACAGATACGTCATAAAATGATACACTTGAAGATAAAAATCATCGATTCTGTATAGTTATCAGTGTTATTACCTCTAGTTAACAGACGTTTTCGAAGACATATAGACCATTCTGACTTCCGGAGCATTGAATTTTTGGTGTAGTTAGTTTGATCATCTTTCAGCTCAGAAAATACTGCGTTCAGCTCGAGTTCATTTTCAGCAAACACCAACGTCTGTATTAATTTCATGAGTGGTTTACAGTCGCACAGCTCAATTTTGTTTTTAGAATCCCATAACCATCTCCAAGTTGATTTTAGGAAATGAAATATGCACAAAAGCAATTTCGTTGAGGACCAAATGGTTCTTAAAGCAGCTCTTTGACTTGAGTCGTCATCGGTTAGACAAATCTTTGTCCCTCTTGTACACCACGACCACCAAACACACCATCCAGAAATAAACCTTTGACTGTTTCCAAACAGCTTGTGATGGTTTGTTGTGAGTTGTCTGATGTAACCCACACACATAAGGGCAGTGCTCCTGAAGGGTGATGGGTACAAAGGAAATAAACAGGGTTGTTGTGCCTCTCAATACTGGCCAATGCATCCAAGAACACCATTTCTCCTGCTTGAGGTAAAGAATGCACCCTAGCCATTAACAGAGTAACAATAGCTAAAATTAATTGTCGCTCTGTGCAGGCAGTCTTTTCATGCCATTGAACAGCACATTTACCACCATCCCGCGAATGTCGTTTGTTGTAGTTGTTGACAACATCCTCTAATTCCTGAAACATATCCACTCCATCGGCCGCTCCTTTTGTTTCTTTCCTCCATTTCCCAAACATCTTCCTCACATCAGTTGCAGATGGGAAGTGTCGTCTGTCAGCAAGCAGCGTCATAGTGGATGGGTCATTCATGAGTGTCGACTCGTGATGGTGAAAAGCTTCAGCAGCAGACATACCACTTGCAAAATAGTTGTGAAAGGTTTCTGTCGTCACTGGCGGGATCTGACAGAAAGTCTGGATGTGGAAACGGTCGATGGTATGATTATGGGTCCACCACAGTTGGACATGACATACATTATCAACAGCATTTATCGGGAGTAACTTTATTGACATCTTACTTGGGCAGCCTGTTTTCTTATCTCGTGCTGTAGATAACAAATGCAGTTCCACATCCACGTTTTGGGAATAACTAACTTTACCTGGCATTTTTTTAGTGTTCTATTTTTTGCCTCTTGTTGCTTTTTCGTTAACTTCTTTCTTTGACATTGGCAAATATACCACTTAGATAAAAGAACTTTTACAGCTTTTCGTCGGCATCCACCTTGCATGACATATTTAATATTAGATGTTGAACCAGTTCTGAAACCCATGTTTTAACTTGCTCCCTGATGTGTCATTACAAATGGAGAAAACTGCCTTAAAAGCCTCTTTTGGTGCCCCTGTAAAATACTCTTTCTCTTGATCTTCATATTCGTGAAGCTTGTAGGTATAGTTTGGTGGAAGGATATTTCTGACATGCAGAGGTAAGTCAGATTGTTGGACACTAGGTTTATCACTAGCATAACAGTGATCATGCATGGTGGAGTGTGTTTTTTTGGTTTGTGTGTTTGAACTTGAGGAGACTTTTGAACTTTGGTATTGGGAGGGCTTTACTTTCTTTGTTTGTTAAAAATCGTCCAATGAGTGCGAACTTAACTGCCTTCTTTGATCTCTGCTCACTGGTACAGAAATTAACATGTTCTTTGCGAGTTGCAGTTTCATTTTTTAATTGACTTTCCAATGATGGAAGCTCAATTTCTAAACATGGTACCCCGGCACATATTTCCAGAATCATGGAATACCTGAAAGATTCTATGTTTGCTTGAGTAAAATCCGGTGGGAATCCAAGAGCAATGTGTGCTGAGTCCACTTCAAAACAAATACACCGCAGTCATCAGAATTCGTCTGTTTGACTGAGATACTGACTGGGTAGATTATAAAATAGCTATTCTTTCCAGTCGAGCGACGAATCTTGTGCTTTGGATATCTGGCAGGAACACTGCAAGAAGTTCTGCATCCTCTGGAAGCTCTCTTCTGCATGAGCACTGTGATATAAAGAATCAAGATAAACCATCATTCTTAATTGAGGAAATATAGCCACTAGACACCAATGGTTACGGAAGTTTACTGCGCCCAAAATCACATCACATGAAAGAATGTCACTGTACAGCATTTGGTATTTGTTCGTATTAAATATCTCCATGGAAGGTGTTTTCATTGTCTGAAATACATCTCTACTAGAAAATACATGCATGCAGAAACCCTCGGCTTGCTAACAAAACCATTGTATTTTCCGAACATGAAGTATTTAACGTAGTTGTCATGGTAATTTTAATTTTCTTACAAATGAAAAATCGCCTAAAAATATCACTTTTAATTACAAAATTATTAATTTCCCAACATATACATGTTAGGTATGTTATTATACATAATATAAACCTCAATTTAAGGTACAATTCTACCACAAACGCTTCGCAAAACGTTTTCAAAGTCACTATAGTGATATATAAAACTAAACTGCCTTTTAAAATGGCTTTATCGATAAACTTTGAGTTTGCAAATAACTTTGCTTTCTTTTTTATTTAAAAAATTCAATATCATAAGAAAGGAATCAATATTAAAGATACACTGAAATTATATGCTGTTTTGTTTAGTTGTTTCATATACGCAAAGGCCGTCTGGTTTTAAATCCATTATAAAATCAATATTTAATTAAAACAAACTTGCCTTCGTTAACGTTGGCTCCCTTCTTTTAGCCGATTCTTCCGCAGTTTCTTTCTCAGAGAGCTTTTGAAATTTACAAAATCTTGCAAAAATGCGAGCAAAATGAAATATATTTGCAAGAAATTTATCAATCATCAAATCAAGAAATGTTTGCTATTTCGCTGTCTTCATGCAGTCGTTATAATGCAAACTTTGAATTGGACCAATCAGTGTCCGCTATATATTCGTGATAGTCCACCAGTGTTTTTGAGATCAGTGAGGATGACCACCCACCCAACACCGTTGGTGACCCACGCCCGCGATAATTGATGAACTTTAGACTCCGCTAATGCTTTCGTTTCCCCGGGTGTAAATAGCCGGGGGGAATAGTAGTAATAGTAAGAGGTATACCAAAAAAAAAAGGGGGTGTGTGAACCTACTTGAATTAACTGGAGCTTTGAATGGAAAGCGAAAGTATCGCGGGCGTCAAAGGCGACATCCGCTGACTGTACGGACGGGGGGAAAAATTTCAAGGGGGCATACCCCGATTCCCAAGTGGATGCCTGCCGTGCTTGATTGACAGGTGACGTGCGCATGTCGCGTGCGCATGCGTGGGGGAGCTCCGAACCCAAAGTCTCGGTCGACTGAACTGAGGGTCATTCGAATTTGCCGCCGTTTTTAAGAGCCAGCACCGTGACGTCACGAGCGGCATGCTACCACTTGCCGCGCATACGTTATCTGGTGTTTCCATCAATTTTTCATTATTTTTCCAAGTTTCTGTAAGCGCAATTGTGTTTCCATATAACGAGATTAAGAAAAAAGAAAGCACGGTTTTAATATCTTTTAAAAAAATTTAAAAGACATCAAAGCCGCAAATTTCCTAGTTTCTCACCGTAATAATTGTGTAAGCGAAGTAAAAGGTAGTTAAAAGAGAAATAAGTGTAGGGTTATATGTCTAGCGTCTTAACACATCGATAGTAGTAGTCGGTGTGGCGGAATGGTAACGCGTTAGGATGCCGATTCTTCGTAGGAGAGGAGGCTACTAAGTCAAAGGGGGTTCGATTCCCCCCTAAGATGTTGCTGCTAGCGTCGTGTTAAGCGTTAGACATATATTTTTAAACTAAATATGACACCGATTTAAAATAGTATATAGACCTTATTCATAAATCGTGATGAGGCCTCGTATCCTAGGATACGGGAACAAAACGCGGGAAAACAAGCGAAAACTGCTTGACAAGCCAAATTCAGATGCTTTTGTGTCGACTTTAACGGCTTGTTTCTTGTTGCTTTTTGCGATTTATGACGATTTTTGTGTGTATTTTAAGACTTTGTGCCCACAACGAAAGCGGTAAACGAGTATATTATAAAAGCGACCGGTTTTTCTCCCGTTTTTGTGTGGAAAAATGACAACGTAGCGATGGTGTTTATCCAGAAGCGAAAAACAGTATTTTACTGAGATTTTAACGTCAATATAAAGGTTTATTCCGTGAAGAATCAAGACAACTATGGAATGGAAGTATAATTTTTCGAATTTGACATAAATATGAAAGAAAATAACAGTCAAAAATCACAAGAGAACGTCAAATGTTATTGGTTCGTACGAAAAAATATGAACTATGACTGTGGCTCGATAACATTCTGCAAGCAGCTTACAAGTTTAAAAAATGAAGGCTACATTACCTGAGTGAGTTGTAATCTTATTTCTTCAACAATTGTTTCATATTTCTTACGATTTTGGTGTTGTATAGACGTTTTGTAGCCTTGTTGGTTGTTTGTTTTGGCCATACAAACTACGACAATAATACAAAGTCAAAGGTTTCCTTTTTCGATTGACTCCAGCATCTTTTGCTTTAAATGTCATGTTATATTTTCTCAGAAGTATTTTTTTCAACTTTCAAGCTCAGTTTTATAGATATATTTTCGAAAAAAGCCGTAATATTCACGAAAAAAAGCTGCTATAGCCGACAGCAAAAAAAACATTTTGTCAATTTTCCCACGTTTTGTTCCCGTTTCCTAGGATACGAGGCCTCATCACGATTTATGAATAAGGTCTATAACGTAAGAAGATTATTTGTCAAACACATATTGTGCTAATGGCCGATCACGACGATGTCGCGTTAACGTTAATGGTGTTTTTGCATTTTTGTCTTGTAGCATTTATTGTTGCGTTCATTATTATCGCCATACGTTACTGGTAGCAAGGTAAAAGTTCTTTATGTATTTTGTATCTTCATCTGTTTTTGTAACTTTGTACACACAGTGGCGTTTTCAAACAGGCAACCTGTTAAATAAATCAACTGGCTGCAGTGTTTGAACACGATGTTGTGCGTCAATTTTTCTTCTTTTTTTATTAATTTTTATGTGGTTCAATTTCATCATTTTCTCATAAAAAAAATAAGAGAAATTGGAAGAAATGAGACCATATTAAAAAAATTAATATTCTTTCTTCTTTAGCCAAAGATGCCGATAATAACCTGTGATTGTAAGGAAGAGTTGTGCACTTGCGTGACGTATCCACCAAAGGAAATTATAGCTGTTAAAGTCTACAATTCTAAATTAAAGGTCTATCATTGTAAAATTGATCGGACAAAGATTAAGGTAAGCACAATTTTTTATTTAAAATAAACATTTTAAATTACATTCACCATTCCTTACGATAGGCGTAAAAGGGTATGAATAAGAGGATATGTGACGATGTATGTTATCAAATTGATCGCTGTCTAATGTGACATCGACATAGCGATATACCTTTTCAAATTGCTTGGAGTCACAATAATAGTATTCACGATATATACCATATAATTTTTCAATTAGATTATGGTCAAAATCTTTTAACGTGAAGACTATTACCTCGTCCCATTTTATATCGTGTATTTTATATTCTATCATTACATCGTCATATATATCTCCCGCATAACCGTGCGCATAGTCCGACATAGTTTTAATAGCATCTTTATGCCATGCTTCGTTGTTGATGATGCTTTCACCCCATTTAGGTTGTAGATTGCGTTGTATAATGTATGTTAATATATATTCGTATAGTTGTCGTTGTTCCTCGCCTGTTTTACCAGTCCAATTTTCAGGAAGTTCAAGCATTTTTTTTTATTTTTATTTTATAACCACCCGCTAAAAAGCAGGGTGAATTAAAAATTTGGTTTTTGCGATCTCTAGTTGTCAACTTTCCCGTTGTTTGTGTGTTGAACCGTTGGTAAGCGCTACTTATTTGAAAAAATTGTTAGACCGGGGTTATATTTATATATTTTTTTATTTTTTAGAAAACTATGGGGAAATAGGGAAGACCAAATTTACACATTTATTGTTTGTTCTGTGAGGAGTTAGTTTTAATATAGCTATGTCCAAATATGGTCATTTATGTTTAGGGTATTTGTTATTTTTTTGACAATACAAACTAATATGTTGACCGAATATGGGCATCTATGTTTAGAATAATTTATTTTTGATAATAAAAAATACTCGCATATAAAATCGCATATTTTTGTAAAATCACGGTAGGAAAATAAATATGTCTTGTAGTAAGGGTAGTGATTGTAACGATTAGAGGGTGATGCCGAGTAGTCCAAATGATGGCTACGCAACAAGCGATGCTGTGATGAAACCCGTAGCGGATTTCTGTGAGACAGCAGAAAGTTTTATTGCTGATATTAATGGGAAACTAGAAGAGATGCATGATTGTCTACTGAAAGTAGAGGGGTCAGTTAATGAATGTGTGCAGTTAGCCTGTGTGGTGGAAGACAAAAAACAACAATGTTTCGCGTTGTAAAATTTTATGGAAAAAGTAAAGGGTTTGAATTTGATCGTGCATTAAAAGAAGATTTTAAGAAGAAAAAAACATGTCGGCGTGTCCTTGATGACGTGGTGTTATGACAATGTGATTTATACAGACATTAATTATGTTTTTTTGGAAAAGGTGTACCCGATAGACCAAGTACATTTTTTGATAGTGTGAACGGTATAGATATATTATATCGTTCTAGTTGTGACAGTATACCGAACCGTCTCTATAAGACAGTTTTTTATAAGGTTGACGATGAGGGTTTTACTTTTTATTTTCACAATAATAATTTTTATTATTCTAATAATTATCTTGTATTGGCGAGTATCGAAGCCGATAAATGTTTTGAATATTATTTTAATCATGCGTTAAGTAAGGGTGATAGTTGTGATGTAGTTAGCTATATTTTACGACATACCCAGGTGTTAGTATCGTTATATATAATTGAGTTGGTAAAAAAAATCATAGACACACGCGTTTTAATAAAAAAGTTTTAATTTTAGCGTTTGAGTTTGATTGATATTACTTGATTATTTACATTTGATGTTTCTTTAATGTTTCTAAACACAAAGTACGGGTTGTTAGATGCTCGCTCTTCTTGATATTCTTGTAAGCCGATCTTTACGACGATGGATTCCACCGATTGTGGTGGGCCATTGATCTGCAAGATAAGATTGTTTCGTTTTATCATAAAAAGTTTACAAAGTTTTATTACGACGTGATTGATCCCACGCTTACCGTATGTATCAACATACATTCTTGCAGTCGTAGAAATAACGGGTATATCGGGTAACGAATTGTGGGTACTTGTAATCGTATGTATGGGTACATGCTTTCCGGTAAAACAGAATCCATATATTTGACTAAAGCGACACGGTAGTGGTTATGCGTGTTATTGTAGTAGAATAATTTGTGATAGGTTTCAATAGGATGATAGACATAATCTACTTTTGCCATGGTTAATTAATTGAAATTTCACTTACTTTTGGCAAATTGTGTCTGTCTGCAACCTATATAGAAATTTTGTTTTCTTGTCTGCCCTTATATGGTCATTTTCCATTTTTGTTTTTAATTTCTGTAGAGCTGTATTAAATTCGTTGCTATTAAACAACGTATTTAAACGACGATCTAAATTTATTAGCTCCTTAGACATGACAGATTTTTACCAGCACGGTGTATGTTATGGGAAGAGTGGTGCTTGTTACCCCTATAAATATGAAGCATATGAATTTAATAGGAACGTACAGGTGTTTTTCGAATGTGCACACCGTCATAAAGGTTCTACCCCGCTAGTTTGGTATTATGATGATGTTGTCTATGCAAATATTCGTGTTGTTGTATGGCTTGAACCGGAACTTCATTATAGATGGGCGTGTTGTATGTGCTGGAATCAGAAATATTTTATCGTTTCGCATTTGAATGCTACGAATTCACGTGTCTGTACACGTGTTTATTACAATGTTATCAACAGTCGTATGTATATAGAAGATGATCAAGGATTACTGGGTGATATATTTGTTTATATGAATGATGCATATAGCCGTATTAATGATGACGTGGGTGTAATTTTAGATGTTTTACAAAATACGGGTGTGCTGCTGTCACGTTGTTTGGTCGATTATATAAGATTTGTAATTCAACAAGGTGGCTTGTAAAGAGAAGAAACCCAATGCACAAATAAGGTCATTACTATTTTTTTACTTTATTTTTTAAGCGGTTGTATAGGGTATATATCTCTATAATTCTAGCTTAGCAACTATTTTGAGTATGGCATATTATAGCAAGTACGAGGCCGATCGTTGGGAGTTTGTAGTCTGCCAATGGATGAATGGTAAAACATTTAATATACCAAACCCAAGAAACGGCGTATGTCTTCCAAAGAAGGAGGAATGGTGTATTACGGGTCTGACCGATCTTTTGATAGAAAAAGGGTTTATACCGCAATCGATACAGGATGATGCTGTTTTGTATGAGGCATTGATATGGCAAATGCAATTTCAACTATTACGGAATATTTGGGCACCCGTTGCCGTAACAGCTGGGAATTTTTTACGAAGTAGTCCCGTTAATCGGTGGATTATGGGGGAAGTGAATGGGAAAAAACTAAAAGCCGTGGAGAAGTTAGAAATTAATACCGGTGTAAATTTAAGATATTGGTATCGTCTAAAGAAATGTGAAGTGGCACGTGATAAAGCACAACCCTTTGTTCAAAAAATGGATAAGATGGTTAGCAAATGTTTTACCCGCATTTCCGGCCATAATTGTAGCTCTTGATTTCTCGATT